CAAAACAGCCTCCTTCGAGCGATGATACCGGGCAGCCGGCAGGCGGTCTGCCGCGTGTTTGGTCCGACGGTCTTTGTTCTGAGCTACCTCGCTGCCTTGAATCCCTCCCCAAAGATCCAAGCTCCGGTTTCGGGGGGCAGCCCGGGGAAGAGTTTCGAGGCGGCGAGGGTCGGGGATAGGCGTCGTTTGGGCCCACTTTTGGGGGGTACACATGTTTGGGGGTTACAAGGCGAACAAGGCGAAAAGCTTGAGTCATTGCTTTTTTTTCTCTCGATACACAGCTTGCTGATTGCCCAGAAGCCCCCCAAGGCCCAGGGCTTTGTGACTTGATCTGGCCTGTGGTCGGTGGTCGATGGATGCGATAAGTCAATTGTGCTAGCTCGACGTGATAGCTCCCTCGAGATTAAAACGTGGAGTCGGCGTACGAGGGTTCTGCGTATGAAGGTTCGACGTGCTAAGGGCTAGGGGGGGGGGGGGTTGTTTGCTCGATCAATGTCGACAGGTGCTCAAACGTAAGAGAAAGAAAGTGGGGAGCTTCACCTTGCAGGTGCGAGTGTGCCAGACACAGCGATCTGCGACTGGCCGCCAGTCTGACATGGCCAGCAAAGGCAACGCCTGGATCGTGTCGCGGCCGCACAAGCGCGGCGAGGGACTGACGAGTCGCGGACGACGACACGGTCGCCATGACGGATGCAGGCGGTCGAGTCGATTGGATGCGTCGGGGGGGCAGATGCGTGTCGCAAGGCAAAGGCGAGAGAGAAGAGTGGTAGTGGGCAAAGAGAAGAGAAGGGCGAACGCCTGGCCTCTTATTGCGGGCTGCTGCGACACACACACACACAGGTCTCTCCTCACCGATCCTTTTTCTCTGTTGAGGCCCAGACCAAAACGGAACAGAGCACACCACGATGAATTAGGGTCCAGGTCGGTCAGAAAAGTCCCGCCGGCCACGAGGTACTAGGGGGTCGACGAGAGTCAGGCTGGTCTGGCAAGGAGGGGGCCTGTGGTCGAGAAGAGAGGTTCCCCCCAGTCCGTTTGATAAGAAACGTCTATAAGCGCGATAGACACGGAGCGGGCAACGGCGAGGCTCTATCACGCAAATGGAAGGCGGGGCCAGCCGTGTAACTGTCGCTGCGGGTTTCGGTCTGTTATGGGACTGGGAATAGCAGTAGGGCAATTGGTCGTGATGATCCAGACGTGGAATTTTTATTCCAAGGTTTGGTCCAAGGTCAGGTACAGAGACAGTTTCACCTTGGCGACCGAACGATCCGATCCTCTTTAGAACTTTGGGGGAGCAGCTCATCATTTTAGCAACCACTCAAGAAAGACGTGATTAGAGCGACAGGCACGTATCGGCTGCAGCTCCACTTCTTGGCCAGGCGATCCCTCCATAGGCTCACAGCTGTCAGCAGCTGCCGTATTATGAGCATCGGCCCGTCCTTCCTGCCGTCGAATCTCGAATCCAAAAACTTCCCGATACCGAGCGACGTCGACGCCATTGAACTCCATCGTACGCCGGAGCGCACGCTCAATTCCTCACGACTCCGAACCAGCGCCAACCACCCCCACGTCCATCAAGACCTGCAAGATGGCGAAGAAGAGTAAGGCATCATGTTTTCCCTCCTCGTCCAGCGATCGGAAGCAAAGACTGCGACCAAAGGCTAACGTACGCGCCCGCCCGACACAGCCAAGGCCCGAGTCATCACCGTCCGCCTCCTGTCCATGGCCATGACGGGCTTCTTCTACACATTCAACCGCGCCCGCACCGCCTCACCGATGAGCATGCTCAAATACGATCCCATCAGTAAGTCTGCCATTGCTCCTCCTCTGCGTTGCCCGTCATGGGTCCATCGCTCGCATAGCCTCCCGACACAAGCGTGTTTGCAACGACGAGCCTCTCCCGTCCGGTCGAACGGCCTACTTTTCAACATTCAACGCTAATTACAACACTACAGTCAGGAGGAAAGTTCTATTCCTCGAGCAGAAGCGAAAAGGCAGGTAGATGCGCCCGAGCCTTCAACGTCGAGACCAGTATTTACAGATGTACCAACAATGACACGATATCACGGGGCGCTCGCCCCTATCTCCCACGGCTCTCAAGTCATGCGTGAAGAGGGAAGAACGAGATGATGTACCAACAATACCAGTTCTTCAAGGAATACTTTTTCTAGAGGAAGAGGAACAAATTGATTACAATGAATAGAATCTTCACATGAGAATCGCTACCTCGTAGCATACAATAAGCCCACCTCCACATCGTCCCAAAATTTGGCTGACCTCTGCATCTAATCTGCTTCGAGGGGAAATAATGATAGCAAGTATAGAGAAATTTCGGGGCATGCTCCCCGGCAACTTGTGTCTTGTTGAGATGCCTACTTATGCAACACTTCTGTGCCGCCGAAACACGACCATAATACAATGGCAGCTTCAGCCGTCTAAAATCCGGCCATCGTCTCTTTGACAGGATTCAGCTTGGAATATGTCTTTGTCACCTTTCTCGGACAATCACGCTGCTCTGTTGGACACAACTTTGGCCTCGGTGTCGCGCCAGAGGTGCCGGGTCTGGTCGAAAAGTGACGGGAGACCTCTTCTGCTTCCGTCACATCTTCGATGTCATCGTCCACCCGCGGCTTCTTGCTTTCTTGGACGCTTTCGAAGTGTCCTGGCCGCTTGCCTTTGAGTGCCTGCAAGCTCGGGCCTGGGGCTTGCAGCTCACGCCGCTGACGTTCTATGGGACTGAATAGGCCAGACTCTCGGAATATTGCGTGGGGGCCCAGTACGCTGCTTGGGAGCGACCTTGTCACGGCACGATTGTTAGCGACATAGTCAAAAGTCCTGACGTGCCCGACCACCGGTTGGTCATATGCCCTGAGGCCTGAGGGAGCCCGCTTTTCCTCATGGCTGGAGTGAACTTGAACGGGCACCTGAGATTGGCTCAAATACCTTCGAGTCAGTGGTAGGGCGACGACGCAGTATCGATTTTGTCGGTCCCATGACTCTTCTCTGGGTGCGCTCTTCGTCATTGGACACCATTTGCAGGGCTTCGCTCGCCTCTGATTGACTAGGTGTCCGTAGCACGATACGTTTCTCGCGGAGTTGGACGATTACCGCCGCAGGGGGGGCATCGATGTCACGGTCGTGCTGAGAGCCATTCTGCTCATCACCGCGTGGCTTGGAATGTTCGAGGCTTACAGATTCCAAATCGGACTGTCTAGCGGGAGCAGGGCCAACAGTGTTGCTCATCCTTGTCTCGGCTGCTTCTGTTTCTGCCAAACAAGACTGGTGCGTGTGGTGTAGGACTCGTTGTATCGCGAGCATTGTCTGGAACTGTTCGTTCATGCCCCCCACATCAACTGCACTCTCCTCTAGTTTCTCAACTGTTGCTTGGCCACCAGGAGCTCCTTGTCGGTTTGCTTGAGCCTGTTGAGAGCGTCATCATCCATGGGAGACTGGCTTGGACTCTTTAGCCTATGAGTTAGATTGGCAATTCGCTGCTCGGCGTCAACCAGATCTCTCCGTAATCTAGCTGTCTCGGCTGTTGTATCTTGCTCTAGGATAGGAACATGTCTGGGAGACTCGTCCGGTTCCTTTCGGACTTCACTACGCACGATAAGAGTATCCTCGAAAACAACGTCGCGTCGGCTATTTGTTGTCCCGTGACACTCCGTCTGTATCGCGGCATCAATAGTGTCACTGACAACCGAACGAAGAGGCTCCTCCCTTTTCTGCTTCAAACTCTCATAGATGCTCGTAAGGCGCTCTTTGATGTCTCCAGTGTCTTTTTGGCGCCTTTCAGTCTGGTCTCGCAATTGGCTCTCCATGTCGCAGATCTTCAATGTCTTGAAGTTAGCCTCTTCGTGCAGCCCAGAGATTTCAAGCTCCATATTCTTTTTCAAAAGCGCAATTTCGTTCTGGTGAGTGACATTGAGATCTTGAATTTGCTGCTGCAGGATGGTGCTCTGGGCGTCCTTATTAGACAATGCCTGTCGAAGCTCTACAATATCGTTCGCCAGAGTCGCTTCCTGGTTTGAAGTACTTTCGAGGCTCGCGATCTGAAGGCGCAGGCCTTGGGCTTCTTCCGTTTTCTTTTCATGTGAAACCTCAACATCTTTTAGTTGACGGTATCGAACATCAAGAAGCGTCGCACATTGAGTCTTCTCTTCAGCCATCTCAATAAGCTCCTGGCGCATATCTGCTTCGCGAGAGCAGTGTCCTTCCAACTGCGTAGTGAGTTGATTCTGGATGCTCTCTTGAACTTGGGTCATTGAATGTCGTAAGTCCATCTGACTGGTGTTGGTCGTGCGCAGCGCAGCTTCAAGCTCATCGAAATGCCCCTTGAGCGCCGCTGTGAGGCCGTTGATCATCTCATCCCGGCGCCGGAGCTCTTGGTCGCGTGAGGAGACAGCCGAAAGTATTTGATCCAATCTAAATCCCGGTCAGCCCATTTTCTCTTCTGTAATCGTCATGACCCTGCCTTTTGAGTAAAAGACCAGATTCTTCGGCCTTTGTGAGTTCTTTGTCACCCGCTATCTGCGCCAGGATCTGTTCCATCCCCGCTCGAAAACTTCTCGATAACTTGTCGTGTTGATTTTGGTCGTCGAGCTGACTTTCCAAGATATTTGATCTCTCCACTTCTTGCAAAAGCTGCTGCTGAGTATCTTGTAGCTTTGCCTCGATATCTCTGAGCGTGGCATTGACTTCAAGTGTATCAGTTAGGGGTGTCTAGAGCTTGTCTTCGTTGACGACTCACCTGTATCAGATTCTCTCCGTGAAAATGCGCGACAAGCTTCAAGAGCCTTGGAGAGATCGTCGCGCACCAGCTCCCCTCTAGCAATGGCTCGTTCGCTCTCGTCATGATTTTTCCGTTCCATTTCTGCAGCATCCAGGATCGCTCGGTCAACAAAGGCTTTTTGATGTCTGTAGAACCTTTGCTGCTCGTCAAGAGCCTCGTTGAAGCGCATTTTGTAGTCTGCGAGTCGCGTTGACATTTTGCCATACCTGCTTTTGTGTTCCTCAATTTCGTTCATCAACCTTTGAACCTCCTCATCTGCCTGAGTATTTTTACATTGCATCTCTTTCACCTCGGCTTGAACCTGCTTGTATTTCTGTTGGAGGTCCTGAATATCAGTATGGAGTTTGTCGTAATCTGTAGCGATAGTATCCCTCTCACGCCCGCATTTGATTAACTGGCGTTTCCCAACCTCTATTCTCTCTCTCAACGCTGCGACCTCGGCCTCTTTACACTCAATAGTATCGCACTTCTCGGTCATCAGGGCGGCTTGCAGCTGCAACTTAGCACTTAGCTTCTTCTCTTTCCTCTCGGAGTCCTCAAGTCTAGCAGTCCACTCGGAAAACGTCTTCTGCATTTCGGCTCGGCTGTCTGAGCGGTACTTATTCTTTTCAACTGCTGAATCTCGACGTCTCGAAGTGTTGGAGTCTCTTGACATCGCGGAATAGGCCGATGGACTCGAAGGCTTGGCCAAACACACAGAGCGACTTGTTTGTTGTGCATGACCCGAACGGCGGCTTTCATGGTCAACGTTCTTCGTTTTTCGTGCACTAGGCATCGCCAAATCTGCCATAGCAGCCTCTTGGGGGGCTGGTGTAACTTGACAATTCAGTGGAAATCGCATCCGGCTCGGAGGAGGATGCAGCAGAGCATCTGGATTGTGGCCACGCGGACTGTGGTCAACTCGCCCTTGGAAAAACAGCCGATCATGATGTTCTGTACTGGCATCCGAGTTTCTGCACTTTGACGAAGTCGTGGCTAGTTCGAGGCACCTGCTATGGGTCTCTGGTAACGATGGCGTCTGCTGTTCGATACTATGACGACACTCCTCCCTATGGATACTTCGAACTTTCGAACACTGATCAGTGTGCTGGCCAGGGGAGCCAGTGCTGAAGCTGAGATGGCGATCATGATCCTCTGTGCTCTTGGGTCGTAACCCGGGACCCCTTGGAGGCTGAGACGCACTCTGCGCTTCTGAACTGCCGTAATCCGAGAAGTATCGTGAAACACCAGGAGCGGGGGCTTCCTCGCGTGGCTCAGGGGCCTTATTGATACATTTGGGGGGTTTCAGTGACTGTAGCCGCGTGGACGAGTCGGAGGGTAGGTGTTCTACCTTATTCTTTATTGATACTGATGCAGGCTGGCCAGCAGCAGGCTCAGTGGTTAACCGCGCTGTTTCGTCGACACCCATGGTCTGTGGATTAGATACAATGGAATCAACTCCCGGGTTTTGAGCCGCAAAGTTGTTCCTTTCCGGCTGGCGTCCATCTTGGGCTGTGGGAACGTATGGTTTAGCCTTTGGTCCAGAGAACTGGTCCCGACTGAAAGAGGGTGCTGCCTGGAACGAATAACCGGTATCGTCCACGACAGACTCCAGGCTTGTAGCTGGCTTTATAAAGCGCTTCACTTGGCCTGCCTTTAACAATTGCTTTTCGATGGTGCCGTCCGAACCACCAGCTATAGTGTTAATAGCGCCAGGGGTATTGTTGACCAGGGCCGTCCTGGGGCACTTCATTTGGGAGTCCTCCGCCAGTATAGACTCTTCTATCTCCTCGTCACGTTGCTGTGCTAGTGCAGTTTTGCGATCTGACGATCCAGGGATCACCGAGGTGTTCCTGGAGATATCGCTGCTGGCCTGGCTGGCTGCAGGGCCAGGGCTACAGTGAGCTCCCAATAGCGAAGGTGATATCATGGTTCTGCTTGCACGGGGCACGAAGAACCACAACACTATGTATTTGGACGCGAGTGATTTAAACAAGCCCCGACGACTCCGAGGTCTGGCTCTGGCTGCTTGGCGGTGTGATCTGTGCCCGTTTGGGCATTGGAAATCGCGAGGCTCCTTTCAGACGGGCAGACGTTGAAGTCAGCTGAGAAAAGCCCCAGATGCGGGTGTCAATGCTGATGATGCTTTCGTCTTGATCGAAAATCCCTGGTCCTGACGAGAACATGAGATGGCCACCAACCTTGTGGGGTTTCAGGAACTGTCCTGGCCCTGGTGATGAGGGCATACCACGAGAGTGGAAGAGAATCAGGTGACACTCCCCGTCTTCGTCCTGCGCGAATTGTCGTGGAAACCACGTACCAGCACCCCAAAGCCAATATTGGCAACCAATTGCAATGACTGAGGAGCAAGTAAGAAGAGGAAGTTGTCACTTGCTTGCCGATTCCAAGATCGGCCTTTGTGAGGCACTTGCTGCTTTGTTTCAATTGCAGACGGCAAGCACCAAGACAATGGTAAGGGCAGCTGCTGCCAAAAGGATGTTCATGTGGAGCGACGCTACCCTATCTCATCATCCTGCTGGCCACAGCATTGGGCCGCTGCACTTGCTTCTTGTACCTTCTGCCAGTGCTGATACCGAGAGCTGTGAATAAGGTACCTATTGCGGTAGGTATGTACGCAGAGGCTCGAACGAGGCATATCTGTCAAATATCATGGGAGGCGATGGTGACTGATACCGTCATATGCGCCTGCTTCCATTACACGACCGTGTACAGGCGCATCGTTCAAGTGCAGCCAATACGGCATGCTGCAAAATGGCGTAACTGCAACATTGCGGCCCTCGGCAGTCATGGGCCTGCCAGTCGCGACCACTCCCACGGTTCGGCAATCCGCTCATCAGCACAAAAGACAGGGATCATGTGGGCGGACAAAATATTGTTAACACTTTTGACGTGTCAAGCAGCTCTATCAGTCTCAAGGAGCCAGCGAGCCGGGCGGTAAATGATACAGCCCAAAAATGTCCAAAGCTGTCGAACGAGCAAGACATCAACTCAATTATCGGATGAAGGTAGAGCGCAGTCACTTGTACCAGCATTAATGGTGTGACAAGGCCAACAACAACGCTGTGATGTCTTCGGAGCCAGATGCAGGAGAGCACGTCGTTAGACCCATCACAACAGCCCATCACACTGGGAAAAGCAGTGCAGTACCCGTCGCCCACATTGTGCACCGGCGCTATTGATTGGCCAGCGATATCACTGCCGTTAAGAAACCCCACCACCACTGCCGCTCGCCATGCTCTCGCGTGCACTGATTCGGCGGTGCATGAGTGAGCAAAGATGTGACGGCGGAAAAAGCGAACGATGTCTAAATCCTGGAGGCGCCCATCAACGGACTAAATTGCTGATTGGCGGGTCTCTTCAGGGGTGCATGCCTGGAGGCGCCGCATGCCGGCGCTTCGAGTGATCACCACCACCAATGAACGCATCGCGGCACACGGGCACTTGTCTCGACAAGCACTGTCTAGGGGCCAATCCTCTTACGAAACGAGTGAAGCGACGATATCGTCTCGGGGACGCTATGTGGGAAGAGACATGCATGCGCCCATCACATGGAACGGGGTGGGGTGACGGGCTGGTCAGGGGCATCAAGCGACCGCATGGCAGACATGGGGTTGACTGGCTTGGCTGAAGAATATCTGGATGAGCCGACGTCTTGAGCAAAGACTGGATTGTATATACCGACAGCTGGACCGCTCTTGTCTGCACCGGGTATTATTCCATTTATCTACTTTGTCGTACGGGATTTGCTGTGCAAATCGTTCGACAAGGCCGTCTACCAACCGTCCCCTCGTTACGGTATCATACAAACAACCAAGTCTTACACTCTTGTCCTCACATCTTGCCAATAAATCATGGCATCCCAAACATCGCACGATTTCCCTCTCGCGACTGAAAATTACTATAACGGCGATGGTGCGAGCGGTCAGGAGAACGCCGGGGCCGCAGATCATGCCGTTGACAGCGAGGCTGGTGCCTCTGGCGACAGCCCTGGTGCAATCAGCATCTCCGAAGAGGCCTTGATCGCCATCATTGTTGTTGTTTCCATCATCGCCGCCCTCGGCAGTAAGTCTTCCTTCCATTTTTTGGCAGAAGCGAACCCGCAGCTCTAACCCACGATAGTCGGGATGGCCGTTCTCTTCTATGTCGCCAAAAAGCGCGAGTGGAAAATCAGAGAAAACCTTCGCCGGTCGGCGCGCAAGGTTGTCACAGCTCTTACACCTCGTCGAACTGAGTTTCCCAAAGAGGTCAAGGATTCCCTTAGCAGGTCCCGCCGCGGTCGGACAAAGCTCGATGACGTACCGCCGACTCCTCGGCTTCGGCCTGAAGACCTGGAGAAGGGTATGGCAATAGAGTTGCAGTTGAAGGACAAGAAGAAGTGGGGGAGGAAATAGGGCTCATAATGGAAGTTTGGCTGTCATGATTCACCTGTCGACTTGGCGCGTTCACGAACACAACAGCTCGACAGTAGCCTGGTGCAGAGAGCTTTTGAGGAACCTCCATTGTGTAAAACATAGTCGTTGGGTATTCTTCTTAGGCGTTGAATTTAGAGTTTCCTGAAAGTATTGGAGCTCGCGCTCCTTCTTGGACCAGACTTCTTCTCCCTCGGCTCCGAATCGAACTGCTGGGGCTTCTTCTTGTGTCTTGGTGCCGGCACAAAGCTGACCTGTCGCTCGCCCACAACATCCCCTCGGACCTTGGACACCCTGCCCGACTTTTGTGCGCGGGAGCCCAATGCTGTGTCCTTCGGGCCATTGCCCCTGGACGACGAAGAAACCCTCATGACGATATCCGCAGGAGTTTGCTTCGGCTGCCGGGAAGGCTCGTTGGAATCGTCCTCCTTGCCCTGAGAATTCCTGGCAGGCGCTCCAGACAGCGCATATGGTGTGCTGCTTGGGTTGAGCTGGTGGTATTCGCGACTCGTCTCGTCGACCTTGAACGCCTCGTCCTCGAAGATCTTGGCAAAACGGTCGTCGCCCAGCATGCCGGCCTCGACATCCACCTTCTCTCTGTTCTCCTGGCGCTGAAGAAGCTTGTCGGCGAGCTTCTGGTTGACCTTGACTTTCTTCTTGCCGCGAATGCGGCTCTCGCGCTCCTTCTCCACCTTCTCCTTGATGCGCTTCGTTTTCTCCTCCTCCCAGATGTATGGGTTTGCGATGAGGCGAGCCTGGTCATATAATTTCGAGGCGACAAAGTAACCGTGCATGTAAGGGCGGAGTAGATTGGTCTTGCCGATGAGATGAGCCAAGCTGAGGGACTTGAGCTCGGCGAGAGTAAGGAACTTGTAGTTATCGTAGGTTTCCGTGGGGACTTCTTCAGCCATCTCCTCAACCATGTTATCGAGGAAGGAGCACCACTTAGGGGCAGGTCCGAGACTGGGGATGAAGAACGAGTGTTGCTGTTGCCCTGGTTGGGAGTGTCAGCTAGCTTTCGGATCAATCGATATGGTGTTTGGAACAAACCTTCATTGGCGGTGAGAAGCATACCGGTGTCTTTGCACCAGGCTACGTCGTTGAGATCCACGATGGGCTCAACGGAAGTGAAGGGCTCGCCATCTAGCTCGTCCCAAATCTTGATAATTCTCTTGTCCGCCGACATGACCTTCTTTTCTTGGGACGCAGTCGTCATGTGAATTAGCTTCTTGATCGGGAAGCCGTAGCCTTGATCCTTGGAAAGGAGGGGAATAGGTCGGCGCATATCGAATAGCTGCACCATGCCGTTCGCGGAACCCGTGGCTAGCGACAACCCAGAGCTGTTGAAGTCGAGTGCTGTAATGCCACCTTCTTGGCTGGACAGAAGGGCGACACGCGACTTTGACCTCGGATCCCAGAACTCGACAGTGCCGATCGATGTGCCAAACGCAGCCAGTCCGTGTGATCTCTCGGCGATGGCCGCCGTGTTCACACTACCGGCGCCGATGCTTCCTTGCAAGCCGGCGCCGGGCTCGTCCCCACCGACATCAACCTGGAACGACTTCATGAACCTTCCAACCTCAAGGTTGAGACGGAACACTTCGCCGAACCCTTCTGAGTCGACACCTACGGAAGGAACGTAGACCTCGGCTGATTGCCTGTCGTAGACCAAGTCTCTGCCATATCGGGGAATGCGGATGCCGTAGTGGAGTCCCATCGGTGTGTGTAGTTCGAGTCGTCGGTCGGTTTGTAGGAGGAGGGTCTTGGAGTAATCGGATGAAAGAATGGCGAGCTTCTCAGTCAAAGACTCGGTGTGGCGTGCAAAAGACAGACAAAGTTGCGAAAGAGTGTGAACGTGAATCTGAGGCTTGTATGTTCCTGCGCTGACCGACCACTCGCCGTCCTCACTGACTGCAATGCAGTTGCTTGCCTCTTCGAATTCGAAGTCCTGCAGAAGCTCAACACGATTCTGGTACTCGAGATCATTCTTCAGCGATCGCTTTCTCCTGCGCGCCAGCCAATCGGGAAGGGGCCTGGCAGTCGATGCGCCAGAGATGGTATAAACCGGGACGGTGCCCGGGTTCGTGAGCTTCATGTCGACGATAGACTATCACCAGACGTATGGTGTTGAATCCCAAGGTCGCAAAAAATTATACTTCAAGAGAAGATCACCTGCCAAAGCTAGCCAGATTTTGCGGAGGGACCAGCCATGGACCTTCGGGTTGTAGAAAAAACTTCCGATAAGATAAGTGCACCTCGGTGAGGCCCCGCTCATGGCAAGGGTAAGGATGCGTTAGCGGCTCTGCTGACCGAGCTTTGCAAATGTGAGGTGATTGGCAGCACGGTCTCAATGATGCGGGCTCTTCGGCTGCGCGGTGGAGTTTGTGGAGGACAGGGGTCTGCTGTTCGTTGCAAGTGGTGGTCCCTGCCTTCCAGTCGCAGTTCAAGCCGTACCTCGCGCAGCGGACGTGACCATCCTTTCGACTCAGCTCGCTGAGGTAGCCAAGCCAGCTCGCGAAAGTCGACCCTCGACGGCGCATCACCATCATCCCGACCATTGCCATGCATTAGCTTTGTTGAAGCGAACACGCTAAGAACTTGCAGCATTCCGTCGACAATTCTAATCCACTCTGCCTTTTTCTGAGCCCAGACAACTAGCTGGTCTACCTCGATCCATCTCGGCTTGGACTCGGCTCGCTGAGATGGCGTCGGGCGTCTCCAAGAATCGATTCGGAAGCAACCCCTTTACACACATTCTAAGCAGAAAAGCTCGCACGGAATCCGTCTTCTCCAAGTCTCGGTCTACATGAGTGGCCCCTCATAGGGTTGCTTGTGCCTGGAAGAGCCCCAGAGACGAGACACAAGTCACAGCGGGGATCTTGATGTCGCCAAATCGACACCTTGAGCCCGCATCACACCGTCGACATGGACACGAGCCAATACGGTACTAATATCTTCTTGATTGTAAGGGCGCGCTCGCTGTTTGCTGTATTTCTGGCATGGCTAATATTTCTCGCACAGAAAGGTATCTCGTCAATCGCTTATCAACTGTACGAACCGGCACCCGACCAGGCGCAAGCATTCGCTTCCATTGCACCAACCATTGAGAAATCGCTTCGAGATGCCGGCCGTGTAGCACATTTTGACAGCAGTCGCCGCGCCCTATGGCACTTTCATATCCCACGGCACGATGCGACGCAGCCGGCAGCTCGTACCGAGGAGGGGGGTGCCCTGGACCATTTATTAGACGTAGCTGGTTTCAACCTGGTGCTCACTGATGAAGGATCCTTCGAACCCGGTCATCTCTTCAAGAGCCGACCTTTCGGGCAAGGGCAAGCCGCTGCCAATACACCGACCCATCCTGCTTTTAATGGTTCCGTACCCGATGCAACGCTCAGAAATGCCTCTTCATTCGACAACAACATTACGGCCACGCCTAGCTCTTCTGATCCGGAGGGAAAGCCAACGCCAATATCATCATCAGATGGCAAGATATCTATCACTGTCAAGATCGCGTACGAGCAGTTCATTAGCGCCATGATTTCCACTGTATCGTCGCCAATCTGTAGGCGCTTAGCCGCGATCCCGCTGAACCACTGTACAATTCTGTTGAACTCCAAAATCATTCGACAGGGAGAGTCTGAGAATGCCTCAGGAACCGAGACGGCTGTCCTTGGAACCTTTCGGATCTATCTGACAACCACCGGCACCCTGGTCATCAGCTTTTCGCTGGTCTTGAGTGAAGGTCTGATATCTATGCACGAAGTTCCTGGTACAGGCCAGGCGGCTCTGTCGAGTCAGGTCCTGGCGGCGCCCTTTGGAGTTCTCGGGAGCTACATGGGACTCGCGAATGGTGCACTGCCTTATGCTGACACTATTGGGCAAACACCAGATACACGTTTATGGCGACCCAGGCCTGAACCAGACGCAAAGTCATCACAATGGAGGGAGATATGCACCAGCATGCTGAAAGGCTGGGGCTTATCCGGGCATACTTTGCAAAATTGTACGTGGGTCGCACTCCAACTCTCTCCTCGGAAGCCTGTAGACCTTCGAGCTGAAGGCAGAGGAACGCCGGTGCGGAACTTGTCACCGCCTATGATCTTTTCATGGCCTTCGATTCTCTGTTTTAGAAAGAGATCTGTGGATCCACAGGCCAACCAGAGCGAAAGGACTGATATAGCGCTGGCATCGAAGGAGGCGGCCGACTCTCTGACGGAAGCCAAGACCTGGTTCCAGTCCGGCGCTGAGAGGGAGGAAAGCATTGTCCAACGACGCAAAGCAAGAGAGGCGGCCGCTTCTGCGAAGGAGGTTCAAGCCCAAGCTCCAGCTGCTCCTCAGCCAACTGATCAGTTTCCGATGGACCCCAGACGTGCAGCCAATGCTGCTGCTGCTAGCGCCATGTATCCTACGCCGCCAGACGCTGTTCAGAATCCACTTGGCATTTTCACCGCACCGGCGGCGGATGCCGTAACCTCGAGCCCTGGGCCGCCTTCGTCGGTCGCTGCGCCTGTAGATGGCGATGCACCCATGGTCAACGCGGTAGTAATGGCAGATACCGAAGGCGATAACTGGGAGCCAACCGACACTAAGAGAGATCGAGGTGATTCGACTTTCGAGGGGGATGACAACCTTTTTGGAGACATGGGCCCGGACATGTTTGGCGACACAGACATCACGGACGCAGACTTCAGTTTCTTCGATGAGGATGATGACAATAATCCTCTGGACCTCAATATGTCTGCGCCTGACACGACGATGACGGGCCTCCCGACGACAACGCCTGAGCCAATTTCGTTACAAGCAGATATCTTACCACCCTCTATTGACGACCCTCCTGAGGAGACGAAACTAAAAACGGAAGCGCCTATTTTCACCAAGCCGGAACTCCGACATGCGCGTAGCACGCTGAACGACGAGACAAGAGGACGACTGACTAGTGACAATTCAAAGGCTCTTAGCAACAAGCGAGAGCCTAGCCCCTTTGACCCAGCTACTGTATTCAAAAAGGTTCGGGCCTCTCTTGGCCGTCTAAACGACCAATCTCTTGGCAGCTCTTCTACAGTAACAGCACGCAAAGGCAGCGTTTTTGACAGCATCGAGTTTGATCCTGTACTTCCTTTAGCAAGCAAGAAGTACGAGCAAGGAGGTCGCTTCGCCTGCCGATGGACACCTACACAGTCAGACACGAGCCTCAGTCTCAAGAAGCCTCCAACTACAGATTACCTCCGCAGACATAGCAAGTCCCATCGCAAACCTTTTCGGACGGACAACACCAATGCGCGCATCCGCAGCATCACTGATGGTTTGGAAAACAGCAGTCTGCAAGCCAGCCCGGATAGAATCGAGGAATTGTCCTCGGACGCCGATGACATGAGCCTCGAGTCCGACGTTGACGAATCGCCCGAATTGATGGAGGAACCAACCTCGCCCTTCAAGGCAAGCACCAAAAGACTGAATCTTGAGGACGACATGGTGTCGCATGTGACGTCGTTGAGAGATGTCGAATCCGTAGTGGAGGATACGGATCCATCCTTGGCGCTGGACTTGCCCAGGATTGCCAGATTCGAGGTTCCTGAAGTCGCTGTTGCGAAATACTTTGACGATCCAGAGCCTCTTTTGAGCCAGCTATCACTTCAAGATGACGACATCATTACTGTTGCTCAGATCCTCACCGAACAGGCCATTTCTGGCAATCTCTGTTTGCGTGATGCACAGTCGGCGACCTTTAATTCCCCTGTCGGTTCCGAAACCCGCCGCCAACTAGCGTCTCTTTCCAGAACATTATCTCTGGTACTGCAGCAAGCTATACCTGCTGCTATGGGAGATTCAACTCAATGCCAATTCCGAGAGTTGATTGAAGCGTCCGACGTCCCCCTCCTTGGACCTCCCAGCAGAGCTCAGCCTCGACCAGTGCCTCCTCGAGATCCGAACGCTGAACCTCCAAAGCCCAACTATCTGTTCCAAATTCCTCCACCTCATCTAGAGATCAAGCGCCTGGACTCCAAGCTGTCTGTTCTGCCATCGACCATCTCATTCTGGGAGACACTTGGTCTTGGTCCGTCTCAAGGGGCAAAGAATATTACTGCCGCTTGCGTGTTTCCAAATTTAAACGGTCTCTCTGACTTCGCCACGACATTTCTGGGGCGCATTAGAAACACGTATGAATTCCTGAAGCTCGGAGGATTCGACATTGTCAACGGCGAGAGTGGTCATCCCACAGGCGGGCTCGTACCGTGGGAGGAAGAACGTTTGACTGGCACACCAACGGTCGATGGAGCAATGCACGGCTCAAGCTTGGCTGACCGCATGGATAGCCTGAACCAGAGTCTGCTTTCCCTTGAGGCCCGTGAGAAGAACTTTGTTGTCTTCATCGTCTACATACCAAGTCATCCGGAGTCGATCGTCGAAGCTTGCACGGCTTTCAGCAGCTCTTCGAACTGCATAAGAAAGCCCTTGCCGACAAGAGGCTTGCTCCATCAAATGAGTTGGTGTTGCAACTTCTACCAGTGGATTTCTTGACAGCAGTTTCTGGAATGCCAACGGCTTTGCCTATTGACCTCATCAAGCTAGCGCTGGAGACGTATGACCGATGCACCATATTTGGGGGGCCCATGCCTGCGCCTGCCATCCTCCTCGAGCATACCCTGCCGCGGAATATCGACTTCAGGCTCAATAACACAGGGTCATCCTCGCTTATGCACGAAAATACCTGCATCCACATAGCATACGCACAAAGCGTTGACGAAAGGTGGATCACGGCAGCTTGGACGGACAACCGTGGGAGTCAGCAAATGACGGCGTCATACAATCTCGGTCGAAAGGGCAAGTCATTGTCAAGTTCATTGAACGAAGTCACACATGAAATTTGGGAGACGACTCATGACCTTATCTCTCGATGGAAGGTGCACTGGCGTATAATTATAACCAAATGCGGGAGCATGGACCAGAGTGAGATTGACTTCTGGGTAGGCTTGGCTCAGACGGAGCAGCAGGCATCGGTCAGCTTGACGCTCATCACGGTCGACACGAGCCCCTCGTTGCAGCTCGTCCCTCCAGCGGTCAAGGTCCCCCCTACAGCTTCGACGTCATTCTATACCACACCTGTTTCCACCCCTCAGCCATCAACTGTTTCCCCGGACCAGATCGGCACCCCCTCGACACCCATGAAAGACGGCAGCCAGGCGAATGCTAGCACGCCGACAGGTACGCCAGGAGGGGCGGATGTGACAGAACCCGCCGAGGGTGACGCGATTCTCGTCGATGTAACCGATCAGACTTGGGGCGCCGTATTATCCCACAGACTGGGTAATTCGACCGCGCCCGGAGAGCTAAGCACCTCTCTCATAAGTGGCTATCTTGTCAAGCGGGGTGGAACCAAGGTTGAGGACCCCCCAGTCGTCATGGAGGTCAACATTGTACACACAGATGGGAACCCTCGAGCTCTTGAAGCCCTGCTCAGGGAGATGCTCAACTATTTCCGTGGCCTTGGGACCTTGGCGCGGGCCAGGGGCATCGTGGATAGAGAGACAGACGTGAGACCGTGGCATATCGCGGCGGCAGAAAAAGGCGTCCGGGCGCTGTATTTACTGATGTGAATTTTGTATCAATGAGAGTTGAACGGCTGGGTAGCATCACATCACAGGGATGAAAAGGAGTGGAAGCATACCGGTTTCATGCAGCGTAGAGTGTAGTAGCAGTGCCTGGGGTCTGGTGGGATATGACACGAGTAGACATGATTATCACTTATGCGGGCGTTACGGCTCCATAGCAGATGGAACATGAACAGTGACACACTTCATAAAGAAGTATATAGCATATCACCAGTAGAATCGTGAGAGTGACGGCATTTCATGTGTTGACAAGGTCAGCTTCTACTAAGCCATGGACGGTCCTCATACAGTGCCAAGCTCATGACGGACCCAGCCTGTCCCTGAATGCCTTGGTCGTAACCATCAAGACTGTAGCCCGGACGCCGGCTAGGGCTGCCAAGAGCAAGTGTGTCGAGAGCGCCCTCCTTGACTCCATCTGGAGAGCTAGAACTACACCACTGGAGGCCTCGAAGACGAAGACGTGACAGGTGTCTGAACGAAGAAAATAGTATTAGAATATACGTCCTACGAATTGCGACGATTGCCGCCAGCCTCCTCCTTCATCGCCGTCGCGCTGACACCATAAGGCTTGAGCTCTATCGAGTCCTCGTCGCCCACGGTGCTCAACCTCTCGTGCTCGACTCTCACCTCCTCCGTCTTGAGCACGCCGCTTAGATTCGGCGAGCGGGCGCTGGCCTCGGGGTCCCGGAGCGCCTCCTGCGACTCCTCCCAGGCAATGTTCGACATGATGACGACCGAGTTCTGGCCGTACTTGCTGTGCTGCTGTCGCGTTGCGCGCTTGGCGTCGGAAGACGTGGCGCCGGCGCCCGTCTGCCCGGCGTAGGGGTTGCTCCGGTTATATTTGGACCTGGCGTGGCTCGTCTTGAGCTCGTGGTACAGCATCCTCCTATTGTTGAGCGGGTCAGCACGACGGTGTCATTTGGTGCGAAGGGGGGCAAGCTGGGGCGTTGACTAACAGCACGGGGATGGATACGGCCATGATGGAGGCAGCGGGCTCTACCAAGGTCCAGATGGTCAGGTCAACGCGGTCATAGGTGAAGTCGGTGCTCGTCATATTGACGACGAGCACCGCCTTGACGATCGCTGTGATTCCAGCACTACCCCAATGGCGTTAGCAATGATGTACGACAACTGAACATGGACGACAATCTCACATAGCACCAAGACTCATGGCCACTGCAACACCGAGCCTCTCACGTCGTCGCATGGACATGCCCATGATGATCTGCCACGGAAGTAGGGCGAGCATGAAATCGAGGATAGCAGAGTAGTCTGTGTCGGTATCAGTATGACGGGCCGGGCCGGTCGAGCTACTTCAACTGCATCGTCTTGTAACTCACATGCAGCGAAGAGCTGGAATTTGAGGAGTTTCTGCCTGTCCCAGCACTTTCCCGGGTGGCTGCCATCGATGACTTTGGCAAAAGGCGTGCACTTCACCAGCCCAAAGATCCAAACAAGATTCATGGAGACATTGATCGTCACGATGATGAAGATGAGAAGATACTTCATCCACTGGTTGGTCGAAATTCGATAAAGCGTAATGGCGAAGGACGTTTTGCTTAACGTCGTGGCCATGATTCCAAACGCCGCCACCATGATGGTGCTGAGACTGATGATTTTGAGATTCTCATCGCTGATTGTTGCCCGCCTCGTACCGAAACCGATCGAACAGATGTACGAAAGCACAGAGCAAGATATAGAGAGGGAAATCTGCCGTGGTGCCACGCATGAGTATTCCAAGACTATTCCAAGACTTTCAACAGCCCAGGACAACCGTTCGGTCAAAGTCCTCAGCAGGGAATTGAAGGACGCAACATACCCAGGAAGCAATCAAGAGATGGTCATCCCACCAAAGACCTCTTCCTCGCCACACCTTACAGTACAGGCGGAGGGAGAGCAGGATAACGGCGGCGGCGGCCAAAGACCAGCACGCCGCGAGAAGGCGTGTGCGTCTATCATCCTCCATGACGATATGCTCGGAACATGCGGATGCATGCAAGAAAGCACGGAGGAAGAAAGACTGTAGATCAGGGGACGACGAGGTTGGACAGCAAGGAGACCTGGCAAGAGGCCTTGCGAGTGTGGGCGGCGCTGTGGGGATTGCCGATGCATTTAACAAACCAAGGACCCTTCTGCCCCAGATCCCCTGGTCCGTGATGGTCCACCTTCTCGGCTCCTAACTTCCCGCGCATCACAAGGCCAAAGATGAGATACATCAGACCATCTGAGGTTCGAGAGATTCTGGGTAGGATCATCGGTCTACATGGTACACTAGAGGGGGGCCGGCGGGGATTCCCTCGCTTGGAAGGATCCGACCCAGGAGAGAAGAGAAGCTTCAGCTCAGTATGGAATCTCTGCCTGGTCTCGTCTCATCAGCTTTGTATGGGCCACCATCTAACTGTTCTCGGGGATGTGGCTGTCGATCCCCATGTGAATGGATCTTTGACAGCCAATGCTGATTTCACTTCTGGCCACTGTCTCGGGTTACTCTCACGCCAGCGACCGTGCCTTGCTAGTTATGCCTTCACAGTTGGATGTCATTCATAGCGCCGCTTCATAGCCTGTTCTCTCGCCGCCGCCTGGCAAGGGGATGGATGGGTGTCTGTTCTCGCAGCCGTCGGGCAGTCGGGGAAGAGCCGCTGAAATCTACGCATAACGGCCATCAAGCCTTGCTGGTGGAACTATGTGTCCTTGGGTGGAGATCATGACCGCGCTGGCGTTCTTAGTTGAAGTGGTCGTCAATGGCGTGAGCGTGCGAGTCAGCTCCCACCTTAGCTCAGGGGCCGTGGTGCTCTTGGGTGTTTTACGCAGGGTGGCGGCACAGTTTATGTGGCAAAGCGGAAAAGGCGACTCGTCCGGCGAGTGTATCATTATTGCATTGCCTTTTCCCAAAGCAACGGCACTTCACTGCAAAAATAACCTGTTTCCCTCTTTCCTTTCAGCGGTAACCATCGTTCTGCTTGGACGGGCAAGGGCCGCGAGAAGGCTTCAATCACCGCGGGCTCGTGCTGCAACGTCGCATTGCCACTGGCTTACCATGGTCGCTTGGATCGGACGCTTTGGCAACCTTTGGCGAGTCAGGAGCCGGCGCCGCCTCCTGAACCTAGGTAGGTAGCTGGCCTAGTCATCAGAGCGAGCCGGGGATCGTTGCGCCGCGCATCCGCGTGAATGAATCATGCTGGCCTTAGCTTGGAGTTCTTCATCACCGTGTGTGTGCCCATGGCAGGTGGGGCCGGGCGTTGGCAGGGCGGGAGCATTTCTATTCTTCTCCTCGCTCCGAGGATGAGGGGACTGAGGGACCAACTCAATATTGTGCCTAGCTCGTGAGCTTAGTCCCTTATTTCTTGGTTTGCATCCGAGCCATCCACAGTCCTACCCACTTCACCTTGCCTGAAGTAGGTAAGTCGGTAGAATGGCAACGATGCCGGTGGCAGGCCGGCAGGCAGGCAGGCAGGCAAAGACAAGTTGAGATGCTCGGCTGTCACAGCCTCGCTTGGTGAAGAGGAAGCCCGTTCAGGGCCCACTTTCCGGTCATGTGACCCTGGCCTGAGGTGCCGGAGAGGTCCCCCCTTCACCAATTCCCTCGTCGGCTCCTCCGTCCTTCGTCCCCTCCTCCCTCTGCCCCACCCCCATGTCGGCATTCAACCTACCTTAACCCCAAGATCCTTGAAGACCAGACCCCCCCCCCGCCTGCATCCACTGGCAACTTGGCCAGGATTTCTGCATTTCTTTGTCCAATACGAATTACCGGCGGCCTATTCATACCCGATGCAGAAGACATGCCGACTACACCGGGGAATATTGGTCAAGCTTCCATGCCGCCCATGTCGCTATCGCCTTCGGACTATCCGCGGAAATTTTCTGCCGTCGGTACAAGATCATATCACTCAAGCGCCGCAATACATGGGGGGGGCAACGTAATTTATTGCCATTTGCGTCATGCTTCGATGCGGGGACCCTAAGATGCTTGATCCTTCGGTCTCTTTAAAAGATGCGAGGTGATCGGCATCGCAATTGAGGGCCACGAGGTTTCCATGTGGTCAGCGCTTCTCGTCAACTGAGATCTGCCTCTCTTCTGCACAAGACACGTCCCTCTGCCCGTCATTCTTCCCACGTTCCTCGCAAGCAAGCATGCCTTCGCACGTGGCCACCCTTGTCTTGGCCGCCCTGTCGGGTCTGGCCCTGGCAGCTCCTGCGCCTGCGGCAACCTGGGTGCCTACGGGGCACACTGCTCAGGGGCGCCTACGTTGGCCCTTCACAAAGATGCCGCCAACCCAGGACCTACTTCCTCGGCATCCCCTACGCCAAGCCTCCCGTCGGGTGCCCTTCGTTTCGCCCTCGCCCAACCCGCTGCAGACGACCTTTCAGGGGCGTTCGCAACGCGACCGAGTATGGATGGATGTGCATAGGGTACGGCTCCGACACGAGCAGCCTGGGCAGCCCGGTCAACGAGGACTGCCTGACCCTCAACGTCGTCCGACCGAAAGGTGTCAAGGCTGGCGACAAGCTCCCCGTCGGTGTTTGGGTGCACGGCGGCGTACGTCTTCTTCTTCTTCTTCCCCTCCTCTCTCTCTCTCTCTCTCTCTCTCTCTGTGATCATTCCACTAACGCGGATTCCAGAGTTATGTCCAGGGTGGTTCTCGTGACCCGAGGTACAACCTCACCGAGATCGTTGACCAATCTGTCAAGGAGGGCAAGCCCATCGTGGCCGTCTCCATCAACTACCGCCTGTCGCTCTGGGGCTTCCTCTTCAGCGAAGAGCTCAAGAATGCCAAGGCCGGTAACACTGGCCTCAAGGACCAGCGCGTCGCTCTTGAGTGGTTGAACAAGAACATCGCCGCCTTTGGTGGTAGCCCCGACAAGGTCACCATTTGGGGCGAGTCTGCTGGTGCTCGTGCCCTGGGTATGCAGCTCATCGCCTACGACGGCAAGCACAACGGCATCTTCCGCAGCGCCATTCTTCAGAGTGGTAGCCCAACGGCCGTGTTCAAGGGTGCCGCCGACTGGCAGCCGTACTTTGACGCCCTCCTTGCCAAGACCGGGTGCTCCTCCGCCGCCGATAAGCTTGCCTGCCTCCGTGCTCTTCCCTGGCAGACGCTGAACAGCATCTTCAGCGGCAGCGATGCCTTGAGCGTCGCCGCGCCGACCCTGAGTGCCGTCGTCGACGGCGACTTCATCAGCGCCCAGGCCTCCGTTCTCCTGAAGCAGGGCAAGTTCGCTCGCGTGCCCCTCCTCACCGGCACCAACTTTGACGAGGGCACCGCCTACGCTCGGAACGGCATCAACAATGAAGACGGCTGGCTCTCGTGGCTGTCGGCTCTCGGCCTCAACTCTACCCAGGCCGCCGGTGTTTCCTCCCTGTACCCCGATGACCCCGCTGTTGGCATTCCCGCCTTCTACGAGGGCCGGCCCCCTGCGTCCCCCTTCGGCACCCTCTTCAAGCGCTCGGCCGCCTTGGCTGGCGACTACCAGCAGCACGCCGGCCGCAGGCTCCTGACCGAGACGTACTCGGCCGCCGGCCTGCCCGTCTACTCCTACCACTGGAACGCCATTGCCAACGGCCTGCCCAACCCCATCTACGGCGCCACCCACTTCCAGGAGGTCGCCTTTGTGTTCAACAACGTTGCCGGTCGCGGCTACACTGCCAACCCCTTCGCAGGCCGGCCCCAATCGTACGTCGAGCTCGCTGACCTCATGAGCAAGATGTGGGTCTCCTTCATCCACGGCGGCAACCCCAACGTCGACGCCGTCCAGTGGCCCAAGTACTCGGGCGCCAACCCCACGAACCTCGTGTTCGATCCCAGCCGCGACAACCTCCGCTACACCGAGGTTGACGACTACAGGGAGGAGGGCATCGACTACCTTCTCAACAGCGTCTTCGTTTGAAGCATGAAAATGTGATTTATCTATATATCCTTATTCGTTACTCAGCGTTGCACATGTAGACCATTTAGACTATTGGGAATTCTGCGGGTTCAACGGAAATACATGCCCGTATTGATTAAAACTTATTGCCCGACACTCGGTGATTGCTTTGGTCTCTGGTTACTCTCCTGTTTTTGACGTGAAATGGAGTCGACATCGAAGCTGTGGGGTGTACTCAATGAGTGCTGTTCTGGCCTGGCGTAATGAGGCAGGTGCGACTCGAAGAATCCCAGTCTCGCCGTCTGGGCATCCCAATTCTCGCTTGCTGCCAGATATGAAGTAGGTCACACCATCATCAAGACTTGCTAGGGGCGGTTGCCTTACTAAGGAGGCCGACGCTTGCTCACTGCAATCGCCAGCTCGTGAGACGGCCGAGGTGATAGTGCTTGGGTCATCTCGATTACAGTTCTGGAAGTCGATTTAAGCATGAGCTGGCACGCTTGACAAGGATGAGACGAACAGCTCTCGGTCCTCTGCCCCCGCTCGGTCCCCTTTCTTGGCACTATGGCGTCGTGAAAGTTGAAGAGCCACCTTCGAACAGGATTACCCATGAAGCAGGCGCGGTGAAGAAATGTACATTCACAATGCTACAGCCCATGACTGTCGCTTTTCATAGTATCCACGACGCTGTTCACACATTGCAGCGTCTCTGGGCCTCGCCTGATGACTGAGTGTCATCACCTCAAATCGAAGACGGATCCCGTGGTACGACCACATCCTGTAACACCCATTCTTACGAGGGAGCATCTAGTCAGAGGAATCTAGTTGGCATAAGTACAGTTGATGTACTGTCAAGTCTATATGCAAAGGAATTCGTAAACACATGAGCTCGTTGCCTGCCTCGACAGGCAGCTGCGCTTCTGAACACCGCTCTCTCTATTTCATCTCAAACGCTTTTCTTTTTCGAAGGCCTAGTTCTCCCAGAACCCGGGGAACAGAAACTCAACCTTCTTCATGGCCTCGGGGTTGCGGCCCTCGGGCTTGGTCATGAACTTGACGGCGCCCTGGGAGGCGCCCTCCCACTGCTTGGCAAGGACGAGCTCGCTGTTCTCGTGCCTGCTCAGCTGGTCGAGGACGCCGCCGACAAGGCGCTTGGCGTTCTTGCCGTTGGCCTCCATGTACTTGAGAACCATGGCGACGTCGACGTCGTCAAAGCTGTGCCAGCAGTCGTAGTCGGTGGCCATGCAGATCATCTGGTAGGCCATCTCGGCCTCGCGCGCGAGCTTGGCCTCGGGCAGGGCCGACATGTTGATGACGCTGCCACCCCAGGCGCGGTACATGTGGGACTCGGCGCGCGTGGAGAACTGGGGGCCCTCCATGCAGATGATGGTGCCCTTCTCGTGGAGCACCGACGCCGTCGCCGTCCATGTGGCGGCGCACGTCTTGACGACCTCGGCGAGGCCCTTGTCAAAGGGGTCGGCGAAGCCGACGTGGCCGACGACGCCGCCCTCGAAGAAGGTGAAGGGCCGGATGCCCTTGGTGCGGTCGATGACCTGGTCCGGCACGACAAAGTCCATGGGCTTGATCTCCTCCTGGAGCGAGCCGACGGCCGAGAAGGCGATGATGGAGCGGACGCCGACGTGGCGCAGCGCGGCAATGTTGGCGCGCGCCGGCACCTCGTGGGGTGCGAACTGGTGGTGGACGCCGTGGCGCGCGAGGAAGGCGATGGGCACGCCGTTGTGCTCGAGAATCTGGATCGGGGACGAGGGGAAGCCCCAAGGGGTCTCGGGGTTGAGCTCGGCGACGGGCGTGTAGCCGTCAATCTTGCTGAGACCGGTGCCACCGATGACGGCGATGTGGACCGGGCCTGTCACAATTGTCAGTCACTGGTCACAGGCTTGCGATGCTCCACGATGGAGGTGACCCCCGGAAGCGACGGGTGTCATGGGTCGAGGGGTGTTCGAGGTAGACACTCACGGTCAAAGGTGTTGGGAAGGGCAGACATGGCTTCTGTAGGT